TTATTTGATCATTTACGAGCGCCATAAATCAAACCAAAACTTATTTTCTTTCCGAAAGATTTTTCCTAATTTACTTTATATCAAACCGAATTTCCTCATTCTATTGATATTATACGAAATATCTACGTCAATCGAAACAACTGTTTTTTTTCTTTTTAATTTAATCTTTTTTAATAGAATCAAGAAATAACTGTTAATTGAATTTGTAATTAATGTATGAAATTTATTATTTAGGTACGCCTCTTGGATGTTCCATTCCTTATTCATTACTTTTCCTAATTAATTGTTAATTTAATTAATTATTCAAATTATCTTAACGACTGAATCGTTACGTAAAAGTCTTTATTTATGTATCGAATTTGAACAATTTGATTATGATTTTTTTTGTTAAATTATTAAAAATGAATGAAATATTACAACGAAATCGTCTGAATTTGCTTACTATAATTTATTGAATTACCATTGATTAGGATTTCAAACATTTTACATTCAACATGTTGTAGATTCATAATAGTACTATAATTATATAATCTAATCGAAAATCTAATCTTTCGCTTCAAAGATTAGAAAAAACTTAAGTAATGTGATTTAAACAAATGAATCATTGTAGATTAGACGTAAATCTACTAAGATTTAGAGAGAAAAAAAAGAACAATTCACACTTTCATCACTATTTTGTTATAATAATTTTACGAAGTCAGATAATATTTTCTGTGGAGGAATCCGTATTTGTTAAGAGATTTATTTATTTTCAACCTTGAAATTTTCAAAGCACGAGGTTTTCAACAAATGTTAATTCATGTTTGGTTTAGCAGATTTTTCCGTTCAAAATGATTGATTATGTTTATTTAGTTAAAAAAAAATAATGCCTATTTTTAGTAAAAATTTATATAACGAAAACACGGTTATAAATATAATTAAAACTTAAAATTAGAATATAATAATTCAAATTTCAATGTGTTAGAAATATTTATTATCAAAATTCTAACAAATAATACTTGATTTCGATATAATTATTTGATAACATCTTTTTCATGGAAATACTTAAAAATATAATTTAACAAATATTAGTAATTTATTTTAAAATTTCAAGTTGAAATAAACAAATTATATTTATATTTGTATCGATTTGTGGCTTCTTACATCAACTTATTTATTTTTCTTTAATGGTTTTACTAATAAAAAAATTAATGATATTTATCAATATATGACTTTTTACTTTATAAAATCTACAATTTCCCAATAGTCATCTAAATGGACAAATGGAAACATAAAATAACCGACGATAAAAGAATCGTTTGTGACAAAATAAAAATAGTGACTTTAGTGAAATCTAATGACCTGTACGTGCCGAAATGCATGAACTTATGTAATTAAAACGTCTAACGACTGTTTTTTTTTTGTCAAAACATTTGATCCCTTTATTTAGTTTGTTTGTGAATTTAGTACATAGAGTTCAAATTATCAAATAATTGTTGTTTGACTTATTTTTAGCAACATCTGTTATACATATTGTTCGGATAATTTTCTTCAACTGCAAATATTTTTGTTCATACTTTTAATATTTCAATCAATTTGACCCACATTTACGTAGATAAAAAATGTAAATAAATCAATAATTATTGTTTTTTTTATATATAAAATTTGTAGTTTAATCATTTTGTTAAATTTATTATATTTATAATATTGTTTACGCTGAAGAACAAAATGTTATATAATTATGTGAGTTTGTTTTTCTCGTTTATTTGTATAAATTAATGATCATTTGAATGCGTCGTGCTTTTTTCACCAATATGGTCACCATCCGTGAAACTTTTGCATGATAATGAATCAATATCTAAATAAGTTCTTCCACTCTACAGATTTGGTTTATCCATTATTTACATTAACTAAATCCACACATACTACGATTAGCACGAAACGCAAATGTCCGCCAAGTCTTTAGTACATTTTGTTTGATATTTAAGTTTTATAACAAGCAATATTTCCTTCAAAAAACAGTAAAAAAAACTGTTTCGAACAAAGTATTTTATTTTATGTATAAAATAAATGTTTCTTCTGTTACTACTATTAAATTCATGTATTTATTGCAGTTTAAATAGATAATTTTGTATTAATGTTTAATTTGTAAACAGATATGAAATGTTTAATATTTGTATAAAACAAACAATTATTTATTTGTATTAGACATATAAAAATAGATGAAGTAAAAAGTTCTGAGCCTTTTTCGTTACATGACTTTAGTGAGCCATATCTCACGATGTATACGTTGCATCTTGTTATTCTATAATGCGACTTAAATGTGACATAACGCTTTAAAAAAAGTTGAATTTAGTTGTAGAGCATTGGACCGGCATGCGAGCACTTATTCCATTGTACAGGAACTGAAGATTAGCCAGAAAACAGTTTGGAACTATTTGCATGAAGCTGGTCTCAAGTCTGGTCTCGATGTATGGGACAAACCGCTTAGAACTTTTTACTTCACTCAATATATTATATTAAAAATATCTGTCAGGAACAAACATTGATCACGAAATAATATTATGTCTTATTATAAGATTATTTCGTGAACAAAGTTAAAATTATATAAGATAAAATAGTGAAAATTAATATTAGTTCGTTAGAAGCAGACATATTTTTATATAACAATTTGTTAAATCTGATTGGAAAAATATGTAAATATGCTTTGGTTATAATATCGTTTTTTTTAATATTTTATAAGGAAAACAAAAATAATTTAAGCTACGACCAAATAATTTAGATAACATATATTAGGAATAAGTGTACTTTTTTTCAAATTATAAATTCATGTTTTCAAAATAATAATTGTAAAACAATATTATATAGTATAAATTATAGTAGAATATAAGAAATCCAACATATTTGTTTGTAGTTGTACTGCAACTCAATTGTTTATAAAATTAAAAAAAAATATTTTGAAGTGACAGCTGTCACTGTCAGTTTGTATAATGTTGTAAAGAAATACAAAATACAGTTAAATTTATATAAAACATATGTAATAATATATTATATATAAGTATACATTGTATATACATATTTTTTCTTATAATAATTGTATAACAAGAAAGTATAAATTATAGCAGAAACATAACATATTTGTTTGTCGTTGTACTGCGATTTAAATGTTTAATACATAACATTGTTAATATTTTGAAGAAAAGTGACAGCTATCGTGTGCCATTAAAAATTTAATATCCAATAGGTTAAGAAATGCTGTATAATGTTAAAAAGAAATAAAAAATGTAGTTAAATTTATATAAATTATAGTTAAAAATAGGTACAAAGTATATATGTTTGGAAAATCATTCTAAATATTATAGTAGAAACGCAACATATTTGTTTGACGTTGTACTGGAATTTCATTGCTTATAACATAACATTTTTGACATTTTGACGTAAATTGAGTGCTGTCATTTAAAAATTTAATGTCTAATGAAAACATAAAAAAAAGGAAATGAAATATTTATTTAAAATATTTTTTTTTAATTAAAATTGTAAAATTTTGACGAAATTACCATTTTCTTGATCTAGTTACAATGAACAATAATTTCCCAACAATTTCTTAACTGATCTATAAATAACTGATCAACAAAACATTTACAGAAATAAAATTAAATAATTTAGTCATTTATAAACTAACATTTCTCAATACTTAATATACTTATTCCATTTAATTGAATAAAATATAAATTTGATGTAAAAAAAACATTAATTTGTTGTTAACCAATGTTTTATTTTAAATATTTTAAAACGCAGATAAAAATGATATTAAGTAATTTCTAACATTAAGTATTTCTATTAATTGATTATAATGTTAATTTAATGTAAACTATGTAAAAATTAACTTATTGTAAACAAAATATTTATATTTATAATTGTTTCGAAACTTAAATGGAAATGATATAAACAATAAAGAATTCAAATTTTGCAATTAACATTGCTTAATCATAAAACCTTGTCTTTTTAATTATTATGTTTTTGTTAAATTAATACAAAATATTGGTAAATTTATTAAGATCATTGTCAATTACAAGCTGTAATTTCTTAATACTTGTTCGTTTAATAATAATATTTAATTGGTTACAAATAATTTCGATAAAGGATCGGGGTTGAAGGATAAATTATCAATTACATAATAAACGTTCCGGGCAAAAATTTTTGCTTACGATATTGACCCCGAGAGTTTATCGTTCCGAAAGAGAGCAACAACCAAAAAAAAAAATAAAAAGAAAATAAAACTATGGGCGAAATTGTAAACGTACGTAACACGAAGTTGCGAAAGATCATTGCCAAACGGAGATAAAAAAAAATATAATGTGTGTATATATTTATTTATTAATCGCGATTAATTATGAACCAACAATTAGAGATATATTTTTTTTTCCTTCAAACAAAACAAAATCAATTTTACTTTCTTTTGGTTCTGATTATTAGGTCACAGGAAGCCGCCACAATTGTGCGTGAACAATGAATGAATATGTGATGATGGTCTCGCTGTCTGGATGTGTGTGTGTGTGTATATTTATGTGTGTGTGTGAAGGAGCAAAACATTTCTCTTTCATATGGGCGGCTCTTAAGTGGGCGCCAAAATCACCGAAATTCTTCTGATTTCTTTCTGGGTGGGCGGAGATTTGGGTCACCGAACAGAAAAAAAAATGAATGTTTGTACATCCTCCTGATGTTATCCGCAATTTTCGGTCAAGGGTTGTTTTGTTGTTCGGGAATGGGGGTAATGATGGTACCGGATGGACGAATCCGCGTGGCGTCTGAAATTTAAATGTTTGTAGATAGGTTGGATGGTGGTGGAGAGGAGGCTCGAGCTCTAACTCGCACACAAGTACGAAGCATACACACTCGCACGTAAAAGTGTGTGTGTATATATATACTAACTCACACACAGGCATAGTAGTATCAACGTCGATTGCAAGAATTTCGAAAAGCGAGTAGGGGGAAACTCGTATATAGATAGTATATAGTAAGTTAAGGCGTCCCATTGGAGTCAGTATTAATTCGTTTACTACATTCACAATACACACGCACTCACGAGCGACGGGGGGCGGCGAATCGAAGCTCGCGGACAAATCATTCGAGTGAACTGCCATCGTCCAGCATCTTTTTATTTTTTTTTTGTATTGCGAATTTATCGCAAACTTCGACGACAATTTTGTTCTAAAAACAACAACAACAGTTCTTGAGGATTATCCACATAAAATAAACAGAGACCACGTGAGTACACACTTCTATTATTACTTAAGACATTCGGTGCGTGCGGTGAGGTGGAGGCGGAGGAGCGGTAGCTGGTTGCGAGGGGATTCCCCGCAGAAATTTTCGCGGTCTTCTGGCACAGAAATTTCAGCGATGGGACAGAACGGAGACCCGGGCCGCAGCGGAGGCGTCGCGTGGGTCCCTCTCGCAACGAGAGCCACGCCGACCATCATCATCATCCATCCATACGCACGATGCCTTCTGCATTTCTCATCCGATTCTCGGAAAACAACCCCAACGGCGCGACCCCTCCGGCATGAATTTACTGCCCTCCGCCGAGCCGGAACACCCTATAATTCTTTCACGCAACATAAATCAAACATGTATCGACAATCTTAATTATTTAGCAACAAAACATATATTCAAAAAATAAGTAATTACTCTCATATGAAATTCTCGCTTCAAAATAATTCAACCTTAAAACAACTTCACTTCAAAGTTTTTAAACTTTAATGTATTTAAAAGCGCTCAAATTCAAACAATCCGCATTTCAAAATAATTCACCGTAAACTGCAACTAAACATACAGAAATATTCTACTACACATTTACAATATTATTTATTATTATTGAAACTTAAACATATTTAAATCACATTTATTTATTTAACGCACAACAAAAATCGCATGAAACAGATTTACCTTGATCTGCAACTAAACTTACATGAAAAACTTACAATGTTATATTTACTTAAAAAAAACATGTTTGTTTATTGCGATTATTTAAAGAGTTAAAAAAATATATAAATAATTATGTTAACTATGCGAAACTAATATCGCACGTGTGGTTAACTAATTAGCTTAATTTGCGTTTAAACATAATTAATCCGCATTTGGCTTCAGGATACAAACTTAAACGTTAATTATACAAAAAACAAGTAATTGTTATGAGACTTATTTCTTCTCAATAATTTTCAATTATTTTTTTTTAAAGGATGATTTTTCTTTTTCTCCATTCTTAACGACCCTATTTTGTATCGTCCCTTTTCCGAGCTTATCTTACATACCGCTATTAATAACATCCTCGTGACTCGTTCTTGATGGCGTTTTTTTCTGTTGTTGTGTAGGTTTCAGTCAGATTCGAAGCTTAATAATTCAGATGATCTAAATATTTGTTTTGTAAAGAAATAGTTTTTCTAAAATTAATTAATATTATTTAAAACAAATCAGTTAATATAAATGCTGAAATTTCCTCTAATTACTATTAAGCAAACAAATCATGGATACTTATTTTTGTTATTCAAAAATCAACCAAGAAATCTAACAAATTTTATAAATTCTTTAATTACACAAAACTTATAAAGTGTTAATTAAATGAAATACTCATGAATCAAACAGACCAATCAATATTTTGTTTTTAAAATTTAGCTAATTACTACATTTTTTTTCATAATTATTTGGCATTGATTCGATTTTAATCACATTATAATTATTATGAAAATAATAACAATGTTTATTGCAACGACCATGAAATTAAATAAATAATGTGTAAATTACACTGAATTACATTTCCATACAAGTTTCTATTATATTAATTAACTAAATTATGAAAAAAAAGTTATCTTTTAATTATATTATGAAAAAACATTTAGTTTTTCGTTATTACTTAAAACCTCTTATCAGAAGTAACAATAATTTGTTTACTTGTTACGTAATTGGAAACAAACTGCTATTATTCAAAAATCATTATTGGAATATTTCTAAGAGTTAAAAAAGCATTAATTAAAAATAAACTGATTAACAGTGATTGATCTACTTTGCACTAATTATGGGACTTATTAAAGTTAGTTAAGACATAAATAACTGTAAATTAATAGTATTTATTTATTATTTAGAACGAGATTTACTTTAATAACTGAAGCGCCAATTATCGACCAATTATGATGTCAAACTTTTCTTGTTTCTCTTTTTGTTCTGCTTTGCTAAATGTATAAATTTTACTCGTGAAACACACAGGAAGAGTGTCTTTATAATCATAATTTACTGTGCTTTTATTACAAACACATGTAATAATGATTCATAATGTATATTAGTACTTGTATAGCCTTAATAAATTTATATCGTTTAATTTATATTGCATTACTGAATAATTTAGTTCTGAATATTAATCGAAAATTGTAAATTTATTTAATTTTAAAATATAGAAAAAAAATGTAATTAAGTTAGATTCTTTGTTTCTCAATGATTGTAAAAAGATTAAAACTCAATTAAAATAAAAAATGTTGAAACAAAAGTGTTTATAACAAATGAGAACGTTACAAATATTTGTTGTTAGTAGCGGACTTCGATCCATATCATGTATTTAATGTTTATTTTATTGTATATCGCGTACGGGATTTTAATAAAGTCCTTGGATATAAATGAAACGGCTGAAAGTGAACCGATAATTTTAATAATATCAATGAACGTTTCGTTCGGAGCGTTTGCACAAAGGCCGAACAACGATTATAGGATGTTGTGGTTCATTGAATGCATCTGGCACGATTTTCTTTCATAAGTTCTTATAAATTATTATAATTAATTAAGCGTTTTTTTTTTATATATATACGACATCAATCTTACTTTATTTGTATTAAATTAGTTATAACAACATTCTGCGTAGTTTTTAATGTAAAGATACATGGTTTCGTCAGAATGAGTCAAGGTTATAAAATGTATGAAAAAAAATTAATTAATTTGATTACTATTGAAATTACCGTAACAGTTCGTAAAATATTTAAAAAAAATACACGTATTTAATAAAAATTACGATTAATTAATTGAATCTAATTTTATTCAAAATATGTTGATCAAAAAGGATGTAAACTTTTCGATTTATAATAAATTCAATTCCAACAACAACAGATCTTTGGTATATATCAAATATTTAAAACGTAAATTATTTCTGTTAAAAATTAATCGCAAAGTCTACAAATCTTAATTAGTCACGACGCAATAAGGTTTTTTTTTTTGAAATTAGTAAATAAAACATTTAAAACATTTTTATTGTATTTTGACGATGCTGCGAGTTTAACGCGATTATAAACAACGTAATAAAAAAAAATACAGCAACCAATTATTTCCTAATAAGGATTTTTCAATCTATTTGGAATTCTAGATTATCCAACGATTATATAATTGTTTGACATATATCTCAAGAGGTTATTAAACTTAAGTTGTTTCTTCTCAAATTATCCTCATTTTTGTTTGTTGAATACGTCCAGTATTTCGTTTCGGAGATATTTTAATCCGAGTGAGTTTAAAATTGATACGTTGCACTTAAGTGGGTTTAATGAACGAACGTTTTTCTTTTTTTTTGTGTACTTAGACTCACAAACATATTTAAAAGACAAATAGAAACATTAATCGCAAAGTATAATTAAATAATTGCCGATATAATCGCCGTGCGCTTAAAACAATCCCACCGAGGACAGGAAGTTTATCCGGTGTTTGTGTTGTTTCGTTTCCATCATCAATTACTTTATTTACAACATTCGACAAAAACAACAAGAGAAAAAAAGAAACGAATACATACTTTTATATTCGATAAAACTTTAAATGTAATCCATTACATATTGATTATTTTTTTCGTTGGAAATTTTGCGATTTGCAAATGCATTAATCAATAATAATGAACGGGAATGATTAAAAATGCAGTAATTAAAATTACTGATCTTGCAATTAAGAAACGTGATGCAATTAATTAATGTCCATCAACGACTTCCTCTCGCATTCAATTAACAATCACATTTCGCGAAGCTTTCATTTCGGAACGAAGATAAAGAGGAAATAGTGTGTGAACAGTTTTCGTGTTGACCTTGCACGGTTTATTAAATATAAAGTAGTCAGTAGTCTTTGTTTCTTTTTTATGAAGGTAGAGGTAGGATGGGCTCATCTTCGGTTGCATCGATGTTGCTTCTTTTATGGTCACTTTCTGAAGACGTGCCTCCGGAGGCCGTCACGTCCAAGCATATTAGATTCATGCGGTGTTATTTTTTTAATCGGAATTGATAGTCTACCGAGAATCGAGGCGATAAAATACCTACAAGATTATTAATTACCGTAGACATAGACGGTGAGAGGATGAAAGTATCTTCTGGCATTTCTCTATTTTTTTTTCTATTTGCGAATTACGCAACCAATATTACGTTTATAGGAATCGATTTGCAAGGAAGTAACGTTTTTCTCTGTACTTTACATATTCAATTCTATTCAAATGCGTGGAATGACAATACACATTTATACATTTTTTTTACGTTGAATAATTTTAACTAATTTTCTCCAATTTAGAATTCATTTACGACTTGAATATTGAAATTACTGAAAAATATTTAGTACATCAATAACCAAATTATCTTT